GATGTTTTTTAGAAATAGAACTTGTCCACCATTATCCCTTAGTTCAGGCATGTCCAAAGTCGGTCCTCCTCGATATAGACTTTCCTGCAGGTTTTAGAAGTTACCTCACATTAACACAGCTGATTCTGATTATTGCAGTTCATCAAAGGCCTGTTAGTCAGCTATCAATAAAAATCACTAGAAGACCAACTTTGGGCATGCCTGCCTTAATTAAACTCTCTCTAGGAAATGTCCCCAGTTGTTGCTGCTTGACCTTCTGTGAGGTAATCTCCTGAGCTAACTACAATCTTCTTCAGGCAGGGCAAAAAGTGATTTCTTTTATTTTTCATTAACTTTTTCAATAATTTAATTCACAGTAAAACAGAAATGATGCAAATCAGGAACATAAAAACTGAAGCAGGAAGTTAATAATAATGTTCCTGCCAGGCTCAAACCTTTTGGCCTCTGCTGCAGAGACAAAGCCGCTTGTTATCAGATTAAAGATGTTTGTTACATATTTGTTCAACTGTAACGGGGAAAAAAAAATAATAAACACGATAACATGAGATCAGTTTAGGGTAACATTACATGTTTCCTGATGTACAGGCGAGTTTCTCTGTGGGCCCTGCAGCTCTCTGACAGGAGACTGAGGATTGGTGTCAGCTTCTCTTTGACTCTTTCCCCCTGAGAAGCACATTTAGCAAAAATTTAATAAGGATTACTGGATAATCTTATATACCTTAGAGTGCATTTTCCTAAGGAAACTTTCATAAACTGGTTTTAGAGAACTGTTCCATGCATAAATGCTTTCTCCCTCACCGCCTCCAGGCGCCGCTCCATGAACATCAGCAGTGTGTGGACACAGTCCATGTTGACTCCCAGACTTTGCTTGGATTTTGGCCCCAGAGGCACCGTGAGCAGCACATTAAGACACCGGAGCGGGAGCGCTGTCAGCAGGTTCACTGTGTGACTGCAGCATCATATAGAGTTACTTTTTGCCGCACAGGACAAAAAAACAACCTTAATTAAATCAATAAAAACTCATAAAGTATATAGAATAATTAATGAACATTTAAGATAAATTCTGTTGGTCTTTGAATCTGTTCTCTATTCATTGTAGCGCTGAAACAATCAATCGGATTAATCATGATTAATAGATTGTTGAAAGAATTGTCAACTAATTTAGTAATTGATTAATCATTAACTGGTGTATAGAGACTCTAAAACATGTCTTTAGCTGACAGAGCTACCCAATTAGGGCAGGAATTATATCAAAATTGTAAAGAATATAAAAACATTTTGCATGTTGGATAAAAAAAAATGTTTTCGTCTGTCAATATGCTCTATCGTGAACTCCTTAAGTGGAAAACTATCAGTTTCACCTAGTTTAATTTCATAAAAGACCTTCTTTAAGGAACCTTTTGCTATCCGGTTATTAGTCGATTAAACAATTTTCAAAATAACTTAGTTGCAGCCCTGATTCATTGAGGGGCAAGAAAAGGAGATTCTATTCAGAAGCCTAAAGTAATTTAACTGAGAATAGGATTCAGTTGTCAAAGCCTGATTTCAAAAGTCTTCATACCTTAGGAACATTGGCAAATATGTACTTTATTGGTATTTCAATGTGACAACAAACACAAAGTGGTGGATAATTGTGAAGTGGAAAAAAAGCTAATAATTTTCTTTTGAGAGATCTTAAAAAGAGGAAAGCTAAACATGTGGCAAGCACCATCAAACAACAATTTACTGTAATTACAGCTGCAGTTCATTGGAATTAAGTCTGAACTTTGACTAGGCCATTCTGACATTTAAACCTGCTTTGCACTAAACCATTTCGTCCCCATGCGTCACCATGGGGATGCTGTGTAGCGTTTTGCATGTAGCTAAAACAGTTCCACCTTGTTCTGATGTAACCAGAATACATTCTTGGTTGACTTTTGATCCAATGCTGTTTTACCAATTAAGGAGACATATGGAGGTCACTGATTTAGAATTAGAGAATTTTTGTTTTTTAATGACTTTGAAAAGCAGGTATTAGTTCTGTTTTTCTTCTTTCAATAAGAAAGATTAAATATAAAATATTTTAAGTATTGAGTTCTACTGCAAAGCTCACATGAATCTTACATGAATCCGGCACATGTTGGTATATCAGTGGGTAAAGTCATCTCTGACCATTTTATATTTAAAAATATAACCATATGTAATGAATTTATTAAATAATCAATGTTCTTTTGTATCCCTGTTAATTACTAATGGATATAAAATACATTTGTCAGAATAAACCTTGTTTATAACTGTACTTTGCACATATAAAAACATCTATCATACTTTATTCATTTAAGGGATGATTAAGACATAATTCCGCCTCACCCCTGTAACTCATCAGTGTCCTCAGGCAGCGTGCACTTCCTCATCAGGCAGAGACGCAGGATGGCCACCAGGTGTCGGTAAAGAGCTGCGTCGTCCTGTGCAATCAGAGTACAGAGTCTTTCTCAGGACACAAATAAGGATTTGGTGAAGCCAAAAATTAGTTTCTATTGGTAACTTTTTTTTTTACTTCTCTAGTCTACTTTATTTTGGAGGAAGAAGAAGCAGGTGATCCTAGATACTAGATCATAAGCTTTAAAAAAAAAAAAAAAAAAAAAAAAAACTGAAGTGATTTCTGAAAGTCTAAGATGAATAAGGTCATCTCAGCCAACCACGGTCCTCCTCACAAACTGCTACAGAACAAACTTGAACACCTTTGAAAGAGGAATTCGTCTACAAAGTTTATGAGATCCCATCTCATAATCATAGGATAGTATCTCTTAATTGTAAGATAGGATCTTATAATAATGAAAAGATCTCTAAGAAGTCATAGTTACAAGGTTTTTTTTTCTTTTCAGGAGAGTAGTGGAAGCAGGCTTCCATAAAAGTTAAATAAAACAGAAAAAAACCTGAAACTACAGATGGCCTTACTTCAAATATTGGTTTCCTTATCTTATGTGACGTCACCAGAAGCATATTTCCACTGTAGCTTAGAGGGATTATTCCATTAAATAATGATTTACAGCAAAAACAGAAAATCCTACCCTGGCACGACCTGATGAGAAAATATATCTAGTTTTATTGATCTGACATAAAAGTCTGACCTCACTTGGCTCCTGCTTGTGCGAGCTGTATGTGATGTTGAAGAGGATCTTGAGGATCTCAATGATGCGCTGCGAGGCTTCCAGGGAGATAGGTGCTGCTTCGGGCTCCAGCACACACTCGTACGGCTCCTTCCACTGGACCTCTAAGCAGCTCTCCAGGGCCGCTGTGAGAATGGGGACCCCGCCCTCCTGGAGGAAGAAAAACACCCAGTTAAAGAACTCTAGATCAGATTTTCCTAAACATCTCATAAAGAAGTTGTACCTGTTTAAGCTGAGCGCTGAGTTCAGGTCTGAGCGCCGTGATGAGAAACATGAGGCGTAGCTCGTAGAACTGAATGCTGGAGGGAGACGACCAGTTTACACTGGAGGATATGCACTCAATGAGGCCGTTCATGAGCCTAAAGGTAGTAAGAGGTAAAAGGTTGGATTACTGGAAATGTGGTTATGCGGTAGTAGTGAATGTTCAGAAAGTTCTTGAATGGTTTCCTCTTGTGGAGTTTGTGTTGGACCAACCTGAGTGCGCTGAACCTCTCCTGAGCCCAGGTGCTGTTGTACACCACATTACACAGAACCTTCATTGCTTCTTTTCTCAGCACCTCTTCTCCCTGCTCCCCCTCCTCCTCCTCCACGCCCCCCTCCATCTTGCTCTCTCTGCGGTCTTTCCTCCCTCTCTCCAGGACCTTCTGATGGCCGCTCCCTCTGTGCATCTCATTGATGCTGGTCCTGTGGCTGCCCAACCAGCTGTCGCTGTCCTGATCGCCACCATAGGCGTCACTGTTGGTGCTCTTGGAGTCCTCATCCGCGTCAGGGAATTCCTCATTCTGGTCCATGGCCTCCCCCTCGCCCCCATCCTCATCAATGCGCCCCTGCAGCATTTTGGCCTCTGCAAGGGAAGCTATGATGTTGTCGTAGAAATCAGAGTCGGGGTCGTTGGCTTCCTCACTGGCATCGTTCGCAGTTAGGCCAGCCAGTTTGGCCAATGTTAGCAGAGCGCCGTCGGTCACTAGATGGCCCAAAATCTGTTTGTCCCTGCTCAGGATCCTTAGCGAGTGCAGAGATACTTTCAGCAGACTGGATTTGACTCCTGTCCTCATTAACCTCACAATGATGACAGCCAGATTCTGAGAAGGGGAAGAGAAAAAAGATCCATACATTTAAATTCTGAAAATCCCATGTGGTATAATGATTGTACCTCTAACAAGCCCTTCAGAATAAAGGTAATGGCAGGATTCATTTATTTTCAGTTTGTCCATCAAACAACAGCTTAGCTAGAAGAGGACCGGAGTGTATCTTGCAGCCCTGCGCAGGGATGCTACGGAAGATAAACAAAATCTCCAAAGCTCAGAAGAGAGCACTGCTGTATTTCAAAAGGGTCTGGCATAGAAAAGCTCCTCATGCCCAGTGTCAGTCACAGTGGAGGAACTGTGATGCTGCGCGCCTATTGCTGTTCCAATACTCTTGTTAGGTAGCTAGACATCATTAACTTTTTGAAAAATCACAATATCTACAGAGTAATTCATTGGCCTTCTCCAGTAAACTGGAATAAAAATTGGTCTTAATTCACCAGATACATAATCAATCTGTGGCCCTTTCTGGCCTAAGAATCAGTGGTAATTCTTGGATGAATGTTGACCTAGTGGAGTCCTTCCTTTTATATTCCTACCCCAATTACCCCAAATAAACACTATTTGGGAAAAGCAACAACTAATTAAACTTATCATAAGCTTTTCAAACTAAAACAATGTTGATCTGTTTGATACATGTCTTGTATTGAGATAAGACTTTATGGGAGAGTACACCTGTAAGTATTCTGGATATGAAACTTTTTATGAGCAAATTTCGCCTGTATTTATGAAGAAAACAGCACAGCACAGGGTACGGACATGCATCAAAAAATTTGAAAATGTTGTGAGCTCTGAACTGAGATGGAGTGTTAATTTGCTGCGCAGGCCATGCCATCCGAAGTAGTGCGCCGTACTCACTATATCAAAAACCACTGCCCCACCCAGTCCTGAAACCTACAGGAACCCTTCAGCTGAGCTGAACAGAAGAGAAGGATTCAGCAAAATGACTTAGACAACTTTAATGGTCGTTTTTTGTATACACAGTGTATACAAAACGAAATTTCATTTTGTATAGCTTTAAGATAGAGAATATGTAGCAGCTTAGCAGTGAATGAACATGTCCATTTCATAAGGTGCAGCAGAATGTTAACAATGTGGGAAAAAAAAACATAGTGCAAGATGTATTGATGTGGAAGTTTAGAGTAGTGCAAAAACAAATATTTATTGTGCAAAAATGCGGTAGAAAAAAAGTTAGATGGTTTAGAGAGATTTTCCAAAGAGAAAAGGACAAAATACCTTTTCTCTGTGGCCTTAACATCTTTTGTCCTTCCCTTATTATCCGACATAACAATACTGCAACTAAAATTTAATGACAACTGAACCTTAGTTTGATAACAGGGCTAGAAGCTAAAAAAGACTTTACAATTGACTTATTCGTCATGGAATATCCAGCAAATGTTGTTATCATTACTGTTATGTTATTTTTATTTATTTGGAGTGCTATTATTACAGAACGGCAGTATGATTACCTGTCTCTGGAGGAGTCCAAGATCTTCCTGCTCAAAGTCATCGTTGTCCGATTCGGAATCTGCATAGTCCCTCACTTTATTCTTCCTGAACTGATGAAACAATGCAAAGACTATATAAACACATTTTTTTCACTATACTATAGTTTATCATTGTGTTTTGTCCCCATTAAAGGACTGGACTTCAGTATCTAAGCTTGGCAGTACTTTACCTCTTCTAGTTTTCTTTGCTGTGGGAATCAAATAATCAATTCATGATTCAGGCAGGTTTGCAACAGAGGAAACCAAAAGAAAAACATGTCAACAAAGTAAAGTTATTTTATGAAGACTAGGTGTTTTGTTCACATCAAAGTTAGTTTTCAGAAATCAGAAGCTGAAAACATGCACTTTAAAGCAGTGGCAAAATTAAAAGCATACGTTTGTAACAGCTGTGTTTATTAGCTGGTGCTGTGTTACAGGGAAGGACGAGAACAGAAATAAGGAGCCAAAACTGAATGTCTGCTTCTAGGTTAAATGCAAAAGGTTGAGTCAGTGGTGCAACACAGATTGCTGGTCCAGGATCAGAGACAAAACTCATGAGTCATTGCTTTTTAAAAAGGCAGTTTTACTTTGTATTTTCCCATTTATTGATGTTTTTGTCCTGCTCTGGGTCAAATTTTCACACTGCTACTTTTTACTCTGGTTTTGCACACGCAACTTGCCCTTTCATTCCCAGCCATTTCATGCACTCCATGTCCCTACCTGTCAACCAACCATTTTCTACCCAAAAAAGTAACTAGAGTGTATATTTTTAACCCTATTTTTTATTTAAAATTTCTTTAAAAAAATGTTGAGATAATTGTTCATAAAATGCTTGAATTTCACAATTAATCCCATTAGATTAAACCAAGATTGCTATTACAAAAATTGGGATGTGGAGTAAAAGGTTCATCAAAGATAATCCAACAATCTACTAATCTCACATATCTATATCTAATTCCAATATAACACAGTATTCTTTATCAACATGTTGATAAAGAATTACTTTTTAAAAAAATAAAATATATTAATAATTAATAATTTTTACAGTTAATTACTGTAGTTTCAATGACCCCATGTCTGTAAGATGTCTGGGAATAAATTGTATTTTACATGGGCTAAATCTAAAGAGGGACATATTTTTATTTTTTTTTAACAGAACAGTTTCAGAAACATGTCCTCATTTTCCAATTCTGTTAAAAACTGAGCTGGATGGACTCAGCAACACTTCTAGACTCATTGTCTATGACCAGGTTAGAGCTTTGTTATGCAAAGATGTAGTCATATATGAAACCCCCCCGATAACGACTACATAAAGGCCATTAAAGGTTAACTGAGATAAATATTAAGGGGTCTGAATGATCAAAATTCCTTTGCAAAGATGAACAAAAAGGTCTGGGATATAGGTGCTAACATCAGCACTAACCGATGTTCATCATTTTCTCAAATATCAGTTTGAGTAAATCTGAGACCATTTAAAAAAGTGTTTATTTCCATGTTGTTGCCATTTTTGGATGTTTCTTTGGAGAGAGAGGGGAGGGGGATTGGCCATGGTGTCTGTTTGGCCATGTGACAGTCATACAATGCAGGATTGAGAGGTGTTAAACTGAAGCAGAGAAAAAAGATTGCTGGTGTGTTTATATTTATAGCGAAAATTAATAAATATTGGTCATAGACCATAGGCCATAATAGCAATATTAATATCAGATATCAATATCTGCTGAAGTCTTTCATATGGATGCATCATCTGTCCTACTTAAACAGGCCTTTTGTAAATGCACACAGAGTGTCCCCATATCCAACATCCTGGAGGTGAATTAGTGCTTATGCCAAAGGCAGCCTTTTCAGAATAAATAACATTTTCCAGGGAGTTGGATATTTTAACGAGACACCATGAAGTTGAACATTGCTTCCATTTGAGCAGCGTTCCTTCTGAATTCCATGGAAGAAAACAGCTGGTCAAACCAGCCCACCTGTTTAAACACTGATGCTATTTACAGGAAGGGTCAGAGCAGACTACTACAAGTTATTGTGGTTTAAAACATGTTTTAAATCATCAGTGCAATCTGTTTTCAACTGACTTTTATACAGCCTCATAACGTTTGGGGAATTTCCATTTAACCTTGAAGTTTTTTAATTGAAACCCCTGTTTTGTATTACTTTATATTATATTTTAAAGATAGTATATTAAAAATGATATACTTCTTGAAAATTAATTGAAAAAACTGGTATAGTAACAACCAAAACCATTTTTTCTAATTTCTGAGCATCCTTCTGTATATTTGCATTGTTATTCTAATTATTTTTATTATAAGAAATCTTTATTTAATCTTTTCTCTTTCCTCAGATTCTCTGCCAGGTTCAGGTCGAGGCTCTCATTGGATTTCTATAAGTCATTAACATTATCTCTGGTGAGAAGAAACACATTAGTAGAGTTAAAGGTTACTTTGAAAAGGAAAATATCAGAGATTCAAAGATCCTGTTGCAACATATTGCCATCTCTTATGGTTCTGATTCCCAGTTGGGCCAATAAATTATAAAAATGTAAATAATATATTTGATTCAGATTTATAGGAGTGAAGATGTGTAGATGACAGAAAACGACTTTGAATATACTTTTTTTGTTGAACTGTTTAAAATGAAAAAAAGCCAGTTAAACAGTGATGCAGGGAAAAAGCAGAAAGATTGCTGCTTTAAGCAACTGTTGAAGGGCCATTATTGGTGTTTCTGAGGATGCTGTCTTAATATAAGATGTGATAAAACATGATTAACTACAAACAGTATTCCCAAAAACCTGTAAAAGTATAAGCCAGGCCCAGGCCCGGCTGGTAATGAGGCTACACTGAACTAGACTGGGATCTCAATGCAAAGAAAAGTATCTGATAAAAAATATTTGGATGGATTCATTTCAAATAAGCTAAAATATGCTTCCTGAAATACCTAAAAACACACATTTTTAATCTAGCAGTTTCTTCTAATTGTTTTGCAGCTGGGCTGTCTGAACTCAATCAGTCTGAGCAGGCAGAGACAGAGGATCAGGGAGGACTGATGCAGCAGAATTACTAATCACAGCCAGACTGCCTAGTGGGGGTGGGGAGGACAGGAGATGAAGGCATGAAGGTGCACAGGGCTCAGCAGAAGGACGTGGGTCTAAACTTTCTCCGGACACAGCAGGGACTCACCCTCCTCCTCTCACTCTCGTCTGCATCAAAGAAGAAGCACTGGCCGTACTGCAGACGAACAGAGTCAAATCAGAATAAAAGATGATCTGATGTCACCCCGGTATGAGGAATCCATGACTTTCCCTCTGTCTGTATTACCTCTTTGTTAAACTTCTGCAGCTGCATCTGAACACCATTCTCATCTCCTTGCTTGATGCATTGGATAATCTCCTCGATATCCACGTCCATGCTTCCTGCCGACACAAGCAAACCAAGGCAATAACTAAATTAAACTTACACAACAGTAATGAGGATGAGAACAGAACAGTGAGCAACATGAAGGCCATAGGTCAACCAAAATCACGACATAAAAGGCAAGAAATTTATAGAGTTCCTGATATGAATAACAGAAATTTACTTTTTTAGGCAAAGTTTTTCATCTGTTCCTCATCATTTTGTGCAGATTTCAAAGATGCAAATAAACGCATAGCATTCCTATAATTTCCCAGATTAAAACAATGTGCAAACCGACCGTCAGCAACTTCCAGGTGAGAAAGATTACCTTCAATCTCAGAGCTCAAAGTGATTGCAGATCCTTTAGCCTTCCTTTGACAGACTGTTACTTGTCTCAATCCACGAATGTTTCCTTACCTTTGCTTCAATTCAACTGCTCTCCAGTCACTGTGATGCGGCCAGCCTGTCTGTCTGTCTGTTTCTCTCTCTCTTTAATCCAAGGCAATCCAAGGGAGATGTAGGAGCCATTGAGTGTTTATGGTTATAATCCACTAATGGATTCTAAGCTTATATCTCCCTGTATTGACCTTTCAACCTGCCTGAGTTTTCCAATCCCTGTTTTGTTCAGCTATAACGGAAAGTTTACTTCTATCGCTCAGCAGAGACTAAAACACCCATAAAACTCAGCCTTTCTTCAGTTAAACTTTGCATATTTTTGTGACCAGGCTGGATTTATTTTTGGTGGGGAGAACTGCTAAGTAATCTCAGATACTGTCAGTATTTTTGCCTATTCTCAATAAATTATCATTTAAACAAAATTGAGAATGAAATATAGCAATTGAATGTAACTCCAACTATGTTTATTTGTGCTTCCACAAGATGGCAGTGCTTTCACTTTTGATCAGCTTATTTTGACATTGATCTAAGAGCTAAAAAAATATATTTACCTCTTGTTTTTTTGTCACCCATGAATGTTTAGGATCTTTATTCAAATGTTTATATCAAAGATAAGTTGACTAAATAGAAAACAAAATTGTTTAAATAAACTGAAACTGAAATATGAACTGTAATTGAGGGGAAACAAACCAGAAGTTTTCATAACTAATTAAATCCCTTTATAGGGCAAGTTACCATTTTTGATCATTTGCTTACCCCTTACAAAAAGAGCTGCCCCCTCCATAAGACAGGTCTATATGCACAAAATATATATCCAGCCATCGAGCAAAGATACTGTTATGTGGCTGTATATGTTATTTTGGCATTTAACCAATTAGATGAGCCCTTGACTGAAATATTTGTGACTGTAAATTGAGCTGAAAAAAAGTTAAGAAAAAAAAGGTAAAAAGCTAAAGGAAAAGTTTATAAGTTAATAAGCCAAGTTAAAAAAAAAAAAAAGTAAAAGAATTAAGTGTCTATATCAGAAATAATGGTCTACGATTAAGTTGTACCAAAAAAAAAGTTTTTCTTTCTTGAGGGTTTTTCATGAACTTTTTATAGAAGCACTTTTGTCACTTTTCTTAATATATTCGGGTAGGTGGCCATTTCTTGTTATTACATTGACCTTAAAAATATGCCATCAAAATACATATTTTATGAATGTTTCAAAAGTAATTATTTCTTGTCCTGTCCTCTAGTATTTCACTGAGTGTCCTATAAAGGGATAAAACATACTAAATTTGTAGAAATATACCCTTCGCTTTCATGTTTATTATTTTTTTAAGCCTTGCAAAGTGAACAAAGTTGTTTTTTCCCCCCTCAGGAGTCGTTTAAAGTCAACTAAAGCAGTGTCTGAAAATGGTATTGTGTTGAGTTTTTCTTGCTTATATACACAATTATATGAATATAATAGTCCTTTTTTGGAGCATGCACATAAAATCACCCGAAGTATGAAACAATCAATACAACTGCTAGAAATAGTGAAAAACTAAAACTAAGAATTATAAAAACAGGAGTACGAAGTAAAAATAATCAAACCCATTCTAAAAACTATACAATCAATTTAATTGGAGAAAGAAAAAATACAAATGAAATAAATAAAATAAAATAAAAAACAAACCTGTATTGTCCCTTATTGTGAAGGGGTTAATGTGAGGTACAGATGGGGGAAAATCTATAAAAAGACAGGACTTTGCTTTTGCCCTTCTTCCTGCTTGGCCACACTTGAGGACAGCTGATCCAATGCTTTGTTTTGCTCCAGTTGTACAATTGGTGGGGAATTTAATACTAAGAGAGGTAGATTAGGGCAAAATAGCAAAGTTATCAGATTTCATTCACACCTGCATGTTGTTGATTGTTAGAAAGAGGGACTGGATTCTAGTTAAGCAAGTCCTTTTTTTTTTTTTTTTTTTTACAATTTAAATAAAAGGGCCAACCTTTGTTTTTTTCCCCACACTCTGTTTACCACATAAATAAAGAGAGAAATTAGGATTTAGCCTGTTTTAATTATTATAATTTTTTTAATTTAAGATGAGTTTGTTTGTTGAAATGCAACACCTTTTAATTATTTTATGCAGGTTCTAGGACCTATATCTGTTGTTATGTGTATTTATTTACAAACTTGTACAGAGAAAAAACAGTTTAAATTTGCTATTTGGTTTTAATATCCGTGGAGTCATTGTCTGACAAGCCTTACATTTTTTTTCTGACATTCATAAAATTTTAAATCTATTACAGAATGGTCTCTGTCTTCACTTTATTCTGATTAGAATATTAAACTGGTCATATAAGAACATTTAAGAACAGATAATAACACAAATAACAATCACTTACATTTATTTGTTGATTTGCAAACTAATTAAAAAAATATATTTTCTAGGGCTTTGACACTCGCTTTGAAAACCATACCTGTGAGAACCACTTAACCCAATTGGATAAACATGGAACAATAAAGAAACTTTTTAGGAGAGGCAATGCCTCCAAAGCAGAACTCCACGATACATCCAGGCAGTCAAAAAGGAATCCAGGAAAACATCTAAACCTCATTAGACCTTGATAATGAAAAATAAAATAAATAAATACAAATAAAATAAATACAAAAAAAAATTCCACCCAAGAAGGGGGTCAGAGGTGATTATGTATGAAGCCATGGTTTGGTTTCCCCCCATTTAACATATTTCACTCCTTTAGAAACTGTTTTTGGTAAAAAAAAAAAAAAAAAAAAAAACTTTTCTTTTTATTCCCCTTAAGTCTGGAAACAGCTTTAACATCAACTACATTTACAGGAACTAATTTAACTGAATCTGTTTAGGTGAACAAAATAGTCAAACATGAATGTAGCTTTATGAGTAAAATATTCAATAGTATTTTTGTACTTAATATTGTAGTTTTGCAAATGAGTTCCTTTTTATGGGTTTATTTTACTGCTGTTTTGATTATCATCAATCATTTTGGCAAGGATACCCGTAAATTATGATTTTACATTTGATTTACATTTGATTTGGGAATTTCCTGGTTTGGTTTAGTTTGCTTTAATTGATGTAAAAGGAGAATACAACAGTTTTATACTTTAAGCGCACATAGTTTAGGATAATAATCCAAAGCACATTAGGTAGCCCATCTCAGAAAAAGACAAAATTATAAAATGTTTTGTTGTGACCTAGTTGAGATTTGGACAAAAGTCCAGCTGAAACACTGGAATTTAACCGCAAACAAATCTTTCATTCTCAAAAACCCTCAGGTGTGGCTGAATAGAAACATTTCTATCAAGACAAAAAGATCAAAACAATTCAAGCCTACCATATTGGATCTATTAAAATCAACTATCAAGCCTTGTTATAGACTAGCATTTAGTTTTAAGGCTTTTACCAGGCAAAAGGCTGCTGACCAATCTTCCAGATGTTACATCCAGATTACCAGAAAGCTTACGAACCGGTTCACACGCTTATGACGACATTTTCCCATGATGAAATAAATGAGCTTATATCATGTGTGTAAAAGACACGCTTTCCTGTCAGGATACTCTTTCTTGTGTTTACTGAGTGGAGGAAACAGGCCTGCGGAGGCTCGTAGCAGCAACTTAAAACAACAGGATGCTCAATACGTCAGAGATAGTGGGAGAAAGGACCAGAGGAGTCCTCACAAAGTACCTACATGGAAGTAAACATAATAATTTCCATGATTGATCAGGTGCAGGATATTAGTAGGTCAAAGCTTCAAGAGACCGGTGACCTTTGTGAACTTCTACTATAGGAAGGATTACAGCTTGAACCACACAATTTAACCTTTGGTCATTTATTAGTCACTCAGGGAACAATAGGAGCCTTTTATTGCTGGATAAACTTTTCAAATGGTGGCTATTATTCATCGGCATAAAACGACATCCTTGGGAACTTTAAAAGTATTGAGGGTGATCAGTAAACCATTTGCCTAAATAGTATACAGACTAAAATAATTTCTAACCTCCAGCTTCAGCTAGCTGTGCTAATTTTTGCCTGTATGCAACTGAAAATAAACTGTAATATCAGTTTCAAAACAACATTTAATCATGTCTCTTGAATGAAAAAAGTCTGTATTTACAACAATTATGACAGAATTATGGTTTTGATAATTTATTTTTTTATTTCTGTTAAGTTTTTATGTTCTTAAGCACCTGAAGAGAAAGAGCAACATTGCAAGTTTGTACAGGCGGAAAATATAAATCCTTTTTTATATATATATATATATATATATATATATATATATATATATATATATATAT